TGATAAATAAATCTATACACTAAATACGCGTCTCAGCCATTATTAGTTATCTCTTCTGTTAGTAATAATGTTACCAGTTATCTATCATTCTCTTTTGGTAAAACTTTTACCAGTTATCTCTCATCAGTTGGTAACAATGTTACCAGTTATCTCTCATCAGTTGGTAACAATGTTACCAGTTATCTCTCATCAGTTGGTAACAATGTTACCAGTTATCTCTCCTCAGTTGGTAACAATTTTACCAGGTCTCTGTCGTTTTTTTGGGTAAAACTTTTACCATTTCTCTGTCCTCATTTGCTAAAGCTTTTACCAATTACCTATCCTCAGTTGGTAACAAGTTGACCAGTTATCTGACCTTAGTTGGTAAAACTTTTACCAACCGAGGAAGCTTCGAATAAAAAGTGAAGGATCAGTGATAAAGGATTTCTTTCAATTGCACGAAAGAAGTTAAAGTACGTTCAGAAGTTTGTTTCTTTGTTGTCGCTTTATCACAGTGTTTATATTCACCTGCAAGTATTAAAATAAATTAATCGTGGAACAGAACAAATACTTAATAATTAATTTGTCACTTGCGTAAACTTCGCAATCTTACGAAGAAGATATCTAATACGAACAATTGGGAATTTAAAAAGTTATCAAAAAAACCTAAACAGTCCTTATGTACATTAGGACTGTTAGGTGGAGAGATAATGATTTAAATATAAAGTTCTTTCACGAAATTTAAAACCATATTTCTCTAAGGGAAAATCTGCAATTTTCACGTATTTGTACTAAATTAGTGAAAGTATATAACAGGAAGGAAATGTATAGGTAAACCAGCAGTGGAAAGTTGTTTTCTTTCATATCTTTCGCCAAAAGATGGATTTTACTCGCCTTATAGTGAACTCCAAGCAGAATTAAACTAAAAATAATCTAAGCCTGAATTATTTACTACTTCAAATCTTAATGGAGTATCTTCACTTCAGCTTTTATCTGTACTTGAAATATAATTGTTTCTTACCTAACACTGAGTTTATTTTCGAGTTTATGGTTTTCTCCAACATCGATTTGTGTATTAGAACTAACTGTTTGGTATAATGTGTTAGTTTTCTATAGAAAATAACTGTTTTTACTTAATATTGATTCAATATTGAGCCTAACTGTTTAACAATGGTTCTGCATTGGAACTAATTATTTTGTATGAAGTGTTTATTTTGTATAGAAACTAATCGTTTTTATCTGTCATTGACTCAATATTGAGTCTAATTCTTTAGCAATGATCCTGTATTGAAACTAAGTGTTTCGTTTAAATTGTTAAGTTCTTTTTTTCCCTAAACATTGATTCGTTATTGAGTGTAATTATTTAACAATGATTCTGTGGAACTAATTGTATGGTATAAAGTGTTCATTTTGTATAGAAACTAATTGTTTATACCTAACATTAATTCTGTATTGGGCTAAATTATTTATTATTAAACAATGCTTCTATATTGGGACTAATTGTTTTATAAACAGTATACATTCAGATGTCTAAACCGTAACTTTAAAGTATATATTATACTGCATATATATAAGTATTGCTAAACAGAATATTTTGTTTCTCATTGTCCAACCAAAACTGACGAATTCTGGTATTGAACGAAAGGCATTTTTGGCAGGGACTTATGGGAAACAAAGGATAAATCTCAAATACGAAATGAACAAATTAAGAGGAATCTGGAGGGTAGAAGTATCTGCAGGTAACGAGATTTGTTATCACAAATATCATTATTTTTTGAGCTAATTATATATTACCAAGAATTATGTATGCATTGGAATTAACTGTTTCTTACACAATAATGATTTTGTATTCGAACTAATTGTTACTTACCCAATGGCGAGTTTGTAGAGAACTAATTGTTGCTTACCCAATGGCGAGTTTGTAGAGAACTAATTGTTGCTTACCCAATGGCGAGTTTGTAGAGAACTAATTGTTGCTTACCCAATGGCGAGTTTGTAGAGAACTAATTGTTGCTTACCTATTGTTGATTTTGTGCTAGTAATAATTCTATTTGTATCTTAAAATATATTTTGTATTGAATCTAACTGAACGAAATAAGGACGATCGTGAAATATTTGGGAACATTAATTTTCGAAGAAACGTTAAACTAGTTTTTACATTACCTGTGAAGATTTTTCAGAAGTGAAATTTATATAATTGTCAAGGATGCACAGCGAAATGAAATAAATCAAAGATTGTGATAAGTTTAAAATGAATCAAATGTTGTGATAAGCTTATGACTCAAAATTATATCTGCTACATACCTACACAGTCGTTTGAAAAGCACATGGTAACTCTCTGTTCCATGCTTGATTCCCCGCAAGAGGGCCATCGGTGTATCAGCATGTATGTCATCGTCGAATTTCATGGTGTTCAAATTCTTTACAGTAATCCATCGGAATATAACCCTGTAAATATTTCAAATCTGTTATAGTGTGAAACTACAAGTAGCCTATATTACAGATTATGATAACCAACGAGTATGTCTGATTACTGGTGTTCAAATTCTTTACAGTAATCCATCGGAATATAACCCTGTAAATATTTCAAATCTGTTATAGCGTGAAACTACAAGTAGCCTATATTACAGTTTATGATAACCAACGAGTATGTCTGATTACTGGTGTTCAAATTATTTACAGTAATCCATCGGAATATAACCATGTAAATATTTCAAATCTGTGATAACGTGAAACTACTAGTAGCATATATTACAGTTTATGATAACCAACGAGTATGTCTGATTACTGGTGTTCAAATTCTTTACAGTAATCCATCGGAATATAACCCTGTAAATATTTCAACTCTGTGATAGCGTGAAACTACAAGTAGCCTATATTACAGTTTATGATAACCAACGAGCATGTCTGATTAGTGATTAACATAATAACCTGCACAAGCCCGAAGATTAGTCAAGATTACTTCAGTTGATTTACAGATTAAGAATAATAGTGATCCTGCAATTGATGAAACTACTCATTAAAAGCAGATTCTTTTGAGTTGATGCTTTCATTGTCTTGAATGTCCTTAAGTGTTATGTCCTTAAGTGTTATCATATGATACATTGCTTGTCTTGAATGTTCATAGATGTTATCATATGATACATTGCTTGTCTTGAATGTCCTTAAGTGTTATGATATGATACATTGTTTGTCTTGAATGTCCTTAAGTAGAATGTCCTTAAGTGTTATGATATGATACATTGCTTGTCTTGAATGTCCTTAGTGTTATCATATGATACATTGCTTGTCTTGAATGCCCTTAGATGTTATCATATGATACATTGCTTGTCTTGAATGCCCTTAGATGTTATCATATGATACATTGCTTGTCTTGAATGCCCTTAGATGTTATCATATGATACATTGCTTTTGTTCTTTGGTTATTTCTAATTTGATTGTGTTGAACACTCCCAAAAAATATTGGTTGGTGTTACTCTGTTTTCAGGTAATCCTGAACAACTCTGCTCTTCGGCAGAATTAGCAAGGTACTAATATTTCCCTAAGTGCCAAGGTACTCCTTCGTTCGTAGCCTTCATCTTCGAAGTTGAAGACGAGGGCAAGTAACTTGCAACTCTAACGTAACTCGGGTTTTAATAATATATTTATCATCATAATATACCATTATATTGTACCATACGAAATCCTCTAATCCGGGCACTTTCGAAAGGTGGGCCTTTCTTCATCAAAGTCAAACTGGGAATCCTTTTCATTTCACTTCTGATGAAGAAACGTCCTCTCTTTGAAATCGCTTGGGTTATAGAGTTTTGTATTTTTTGTTTTTAATTGATTTTTTGAACCTACGTGTTTTCCTAGCATCGTGATTATATCGTATCATAACATATTTGTCACCATACTGTATCATTCGGGCTGAAAATGATTTTAATTATTTTAACATTATTATTATTAAATACTTGGTCAGCGATGAAGTGCTTATAGCCTAGTCATGATTTTCAGAAAATAAAAACAACAAGGGTAATTTTGGGATAAAAGTTGGTAACATGAATATGGGCCTGCTGAATCCGAAAACGTTTGTGACCAAGATTACTTTTTAGTTATTATACTTCTATTTTGTAAAATCAAAAGGGCGGCCAATTAGCAGTTTTACGCCTTTTTTATGCATTTGATTAAATGTGTATCTTATACATTTAAACCAAAGTTTAAAATGTTTTGGTCTGTTTTCTTACGTTGTTGGTTTGTTTGAAGTTAAGCACAAAGCTACACAGTTGGCTATCTGTGCTCTGCCCACCACGGGGATCGAAACCCAGTTTCTAGCGTTGTAAGTCAGCAGACATTCCGCTGTGCCACTAGGGGGCGCGTTGTTAGTATTTGGGCAATCATTGATACGTACGAATAAAATCAGAGATTAACAATAGCTACATTTTTTTAAACGCACTATAAGTGATATTAGTTGAACGATATGATATCACAGTTTGCACTTATTATATTTTTCACATTCTGAAAAAATAAAATCCCCGTACATTAACGTTACCCATACTAAAGAAATGGCAAAAAGTAATTACAAGTAACTCAAATTATTTGTCGAAGCTGAACGTATGAAGATTGTTAAACCTTTGTCCTGTTTATTTTACAAATCATATCTGTATCTCGTGCATAACTTTGGCGCTTCATATTTAATGATAGGATGCTCCTGAAAAAAAAATATAGATGTTTTATGACCCTCATTGCCCCATAATATGAAACTAATGTGTTATCATCAGTATTTCTGTATACGCTAATGCATGTTATAAAATAGAATAATTATAGTTGTCTAGTGGCTGTTTGTAGGGTACATACCCTAGTATTCTGTAGATGTAACACTGTTTACATTTACAAGAATTTTACCAGGACAAAGCAGCCGACTGCATAAAAAGAAAGACATAAAACTGCTACTGAGGGGTATTTGTTGTTTTTTCTCTTTGCAAACTAGAAGCCAGTGAACTCAAAATTGAGCTTGGTAAACAATCAAGCTGTGTCCAAATTTCTGTTTCTAATTCTTACCTCAAAATTCCTCTTGAGTTTTATCCACGCACCTTTTTCAATAGATCCGTGTAGCATATGTATAAATATCGGCTATGAATCAAATAGCTTGTTTGTTATGGATTTCGTGCAAAGCTACACGAGGGCTATCTGCGCTAGCCGTCCCTAATTTAGCAGTGAAAGACTAGAGGGAAGGCAGCTAGTCATCACCATCCACCGCTATCTCTTGGGCTACTCTTTTACCAACGAATAGTGGGATTGGCCGTCTCATTATAACGCCCTCACGGAGAGCATGTTTGATGGGACGGGGATTCGAACCCACGACCCTCAGATTGCGAGTCGAGTGCCCTAACCACTGGGCCATGCCGGGCCTGTTAAACTGTAGATAAATAGATCTAACATAAAAAACCCAATTAACTAATACTAATAACGCCCTCACGGCTGAAAGGGCGAGAATGTCTGGTGTGACGAGGATTCGAACCCGCTACCCACAGATCGAGTGCCCTAACCACTCGACCATGCCGGGCCGGAATCAAATAGAAATCTAACACAACGACTTATACCCATTCTCATTGAGGCCGATCGTAGCCTAGCGGTCAGAGTGTCTGGATTGTGAATCCCTTGATGCCAAATCGATCTCTGCATTTTTGGGGCGTGAATGTGCTATAAAAGTGACAGTTAAACCCCACTATTCCCGTTCCCCCACATACGCATATAACTGTTTTGGCGTTGGATTTATGTATCCCTACCGCCCTGAAGGACCATAAGTCCGATATCGGCCGTTTGTTAGATGAGAACTCAGTCAGAAAACAAGTCATCTAGTGTGAAACCACTTGAAGCCCTAAAACCATGAATTCAGTGTTCGAAATGTTGCCCCTACCACAACCTCGAGCGGGGCTAAGGGGAACAGTAGTTTCCGGGCGCCTCGGTTGTCTTCCGAGTAAAACCTCGGAAGACCTCAAATCGAAATTCTTGCCAGTAGATGGATAGATTATTCAGTCAGACAAGATCAGTCCACGAGTTACAACGGGTACTGTTGACTAGTTGCCTTCGAGCAGTCCACGAGTTACAACGGGTACTGTTGACTAGTTGCCTTCGAGCAGTCCACGAGTTACAACGGGTACTGTTGACTAGTTGCCTTCGAGCAGTCCACGAGTTACAACGGGTACTGTTGACTAGTTGCCTTCGAGCAGTCCACGAGTTGCAACGGGTACTGTTGACTAGTTGCCTTCCTTCTAGTCTATAAACTTTTTATTCCACCTCATATTCATCGATCCAAGTTCATCATCTTTTCTTTTCTAACGTTTTGACAATTGAAATTTTAGTGGTAGTTCGCTTATCTTAGCTTTCTTAGCTTAATTGCAAGAAATTCTAGTGTGTTTGTTGAAAAATAGGGTTTATTTTTTGTTTGTTATTAAGCTACCTAAAGGGTTATCTGTGCTCTGCCCAGTTTCTAGTAGTATAGTTGTTTGTAGTACAAGTCCGCAGACATACCATTGTGCCACTAGGGTGCTGAAAATTAGGGAACAGCTATGCACCGATAGTTTTTTTTGTGAAGCTTTGCTCGATAAATTCTAAAAAAATCCCACTGTTATTTCAATTTTTTTGTATAATATCTTAAAATATCCACTAAGATTCTCAAAATATAAACTGTTCTGAATTTTAATTCCTTAGCCGAATGTGCACAGACTCGGTCTATCGACTATAATTCCGAATTTACGACGTATATCTAAACGAAATGTGACAAGGTTTTAGTATAATGTACGAGTCTGTTGTGCACAAAAAATTAGATGAGTTAAAAAAAGGTATCTGTATTCACAATATGTCTGTGAATTGATGACGTCAGTCTGATTCAGACTCTGATAAGTCGGAGTACAAGATGATGTTCGTGTGAAGAACAAAATACTTTTACTCATCATACAGTTTTTATATTGCAGTTGCATAACCTCTAGGACCTCCAAAGTGTATATCTAGTTTTTTTCAGTATTCCTATGTATTGTACCAGGTATAATCTTCTATACCACGAGTCCCCCCATTGGGACAGGTGGTAAGTCTCTCCAGATTTACAACGCTAAAATCAGGGGTTCGATTCCTCCTCGGTGGAAACAGTAGATAGCCCGGTGTGGCTTTGCTATAATAAAAACACAAACTATCGCTATATCAGTAATATTGAGTGAAATGAAAAGTTAATAACTCTGACTTCAAAAACATAAATGCGATGTTTAATGGTGCTCTATAGAAGGTCGTGGCTTGCTCACTTTCATCCTAATTTGATTTCGGCTTGTCTGAGGAAAAAACTAGCAAATATGATACTTTTCCTATGTTAAAGGCCTACTAATAGATGAATTCTGAAAAGATTATGAAAAAACTATGCAATATTCCTTAGTTTCATGTATTCGTTAGGGCGCTCGACTCGCAATCTGAGGGTCGCGGGTTCAAATCCCCCTCCCACCAAACATACTAGCCCTTTCAGCTATGGGGGCATTATAATGTGACGGTCAATCCCACTATTCGCCCAAGAGTTGGCGGTGGGTGGTGATGACTAGCTGCCTTCCCTCTAGTCTTTCACTCCTGAATTAGGGACGACTAGCGCAGACAGCCCTCGTGTAGTTTTGCGCGAAATTAAAAAACAAACAAACAAAGAAAGTATGTATTGATAAACGTAGGCGATAATATTCTGATCACGATCAGTTCTTTTGAAAGTATTGTCATTTAACTGATCTGATATTTTCGTGTGTGTGTGTATTTGACACGTTAAAATAATCCTACCGAGAGAGAGAGAGGAAGAAAAAAGATTAAAGGAGCCTAAAACAAATATTTCGACACAGATTGGTTTCTTGTAGGGATTCTCTTGTAAATCTTATTTTTGTCTCAATGAAAGAGAAACTGATTAATAAAAGTCATTAAACAATAAATGTCAGTGGCGCCTCTACGCATTTTTCACAAAAGCTACAACAACAAGTGTCAATTGTATTATCGCCTGAAGATTTGTTACGTTTTTAGTTCCTGTGTTATAACACAATACCGCGAAATATTGGATTGAAAAAAAAAGAGGCATCGCATAACACATTGGAAGGAAATGAAAAAGGTGATTAAAAAAGTATCGATAACGGGTAACGAACAAGGTAGTGTTACACAAACAATTTCTAATTAGTTTATTTTTGAAAAAGCGTTAAATATCAACAACTCTTTTTCTACCAGTAATCAAAGTAATATATATATATCACTAAAAACCATTTGTAAAACCATTAATTCAATCTCGGACGAAGATTGAGGAAATATATAGTCAAGTTTGAATAAAATCATTTTTACACAGTTGTTTCAAAATGTTCTTAAGGTAACCATTTAAAATGTTTTTGAAACGCTCTTACTGACAGTGTTTTTAAAATATTGCCATGTGATGTCCGTAAAAAAATAACGTATTTATAAGTGCAGCTAATACTAAGGGTCAGACATGACCCGGTTGTTAGGACGCTCGTCTAGCAATCTGCGGGTCGGGGATTCTACTCCCATCAACGAACATGCTTACCCTTTCAGCCGTTATAATGTGGCAGTCAACACCTCTGTTCGTTGATAAAAGAGTAGCCTAAGAGTTGGCAGTGGGTGGTGTTCTCTCTAGTCTATCACTTCAAAATTAGAAACAGCCAAAGCAGAGAGTATTTGAGTAGCTTTGCGAGAAATGTTAATAAAAATAAAGAAAGCTAGTACCCTGTTTACTCAGGGGTAAACTTGAGAGCCTAGAACACTTAACAACAACAAAAACAAAAAACAAAGGTACCTAGCTTTATCTACGTCGGTGACGCATTGGCTAATTAGCAATCTCACCAACTCTGTGAACGTCACCTGATCTTCTTCTGCTACCTACAGATCAAAACGATTGAGATAAGCTTTCGGGTTAGTAATAAACAAAAAACAGAAGTTTAGTTTAATTAAACCACTGATCAATCCATTATATTTACTGTAATTGTACATTCTATAGGATTTTACAATCTAAAGTTTATTGTAGATCAAATGAACAAAGTCATTACATTTGTGTATGATAGTTTTTAAGTACAAAACAATTTTTTTATGTGTGAACATTCGCACCTACCTCTCACGATAAACAGTAAATTACAATAAGGCTAGACAAAATACACACGTTTATCGCGACTTGATCCAACTCAGCGAAGATCACTGGATCACTGTAGATATCAAACTTCGACAGTTGAGGGGGAGTCGGTGGAGGAGGGTGTGTGGGATATGAAGACATCTCCTCCGTGACGTAGCTCTCTCTTTCCGAGTAATGATTATCCCTCTGAGGATTAGGAAAACAAAGGTGTGACAATGTCAGCAAAATTATATATTTTTTATAACTATATTATATTAGCTAAGAATCTCTCTGAAAAAAAAATAGTAGTTTTAAACTGAATTTGTTAGCAGTCGATTTAACGTATTTTCTTCAAGTCATGTAAAAAAAACGATTGCTGATAACAAATACACCAATTGTGATGGAACCGAACAGAGATTGTTTGTTTGTTTGTTATGGATTTCGCGCAAAGCTACACAAAGGCTATTTGCGCTAGCCGTCCCTAACTTAGCAGTGTAAGACTAGAGGGAAGGCAGCTAGTCATCACCACCCACCGCCAACTCTTGGGCTACTCTTTTACCAACGAATAGTGGGATTGACCGTCACATTATAACGCCCCCACGGCTGAAAGGGCGAGCATGTTTTGTGTGATGGGGATTCGAACCCGCTACCCACAGATTGTGAGTCGAGCACCCTAACCACCTGGCCATGCTGGGCCCCGAACAGAGATAAACTAACATGGTCAGTAAATATTACAAGAGAGTATTAGAATTTAGTTTGTTTGTTTGTTTGAAGTTGAGCACAAAGCTACACAATGGGTTACCTGTGCTCTGCCCACTACGGGTATCGAAACCCGGTTTCTAGCGTTGTAAGTCCGCAGACATACAGCTCTGCCACTGGGGGGGGGGGGCTTCAGAATTTGTAAAAGAATTTCGTGATCGTATAAAATAACAGGGATCAAACCCTCAAAGTACAAAAACTGTAAATTGTTATTAATATATGTAATTATTATTGGGCATTTCTCTGGTCGAATGTAAACAAATTATTATATCTTTTAAGTTTTGCAATGTATTTTTTCTTACATACGTAACACTTCTTTTGCGTACTTACCAACACTTAATCTGATTATGGTTTTGTTTGTTTGGGTGTGAACGTTGTGTGATTTTCTTCAAACTGTAGCTGTTTATTATCTCAACCAAACTATTTCTCAAAAATATTTCTGACAAACTAGCTTTATGTGTTTTTTTGTGCATGATTGAATGTTAAAAAAGTCCTATTTTTTTATTAAACACTTTTGTGGATAGTGCATAACATTAGCAATATATTATAAAGTTTAACAATGATTTGTATAATGAATAATAATAAGGTATTTTTACAAATAAAAATATAACGTTGAAGTAGTAAGATAACACTAAGATAGTATTTGAAAAGTTAATAGTTAAGTGAATTAAAAATAACACTGAGATATAGAATTAAAAAAGAGGAATTCGTGAATCTATAAATACTGTTTTTTATAATTATTTTTATATTTAAACAATCACACCCTTTCCAGTTCGACTCTCTTTTGGTTGATAAGATTTATCATTTCTTTGCTGTGCTTGTCCACCAGATCCGCAGTAGCCGCACGTTCCTGTTCAAGAAGTTTCTTTGTCATGGATTCTTTTCTCTTGTCAAGTTTTAATGTCATGTTTTTCTCCAAGTTTCTCTTTTCCTTCTGCTGCTTTAAATTCAAAGTTTTTTCCTCTTCGGTCGAAATCTTCTTCTTTTTGGTTCTCAATTCATCTTGGAACCGACTAGTCAGTATTTCCAACTCTTTTTCCCATTCTTGCTGGTAAATGAATAGGAAGAAATAAACAAATTAGACTAACTTATCACTGCGTATTATTTATACTATTGATAAATAATCTTGTTTTTTTTTCTTCTGTTTTGGGAGGTTACGTTTGTTTGTTTGTAGTTAAGCACAAAGCTACACAAAGGGCTATCTGTGCTCTGCCCACCACGGGTATCGAAACCCGGTTTCCAGGGTTGTAAGTCCGCAGACATACCGCTGTGCCACTAGGGGGCGGGAGGTTACCTGTTCCATATATTTGCGCAAAGCTATTTAAGGGCTGTCTGCGCTAGCCATCCCTAATTTTGATTTCATAGACAAGAGGGAAGATACGCTATTCAATAGCATCCACTAACAATATTTGTGCTACTCTTGTCTGACCAAATAGTGAAATATGAGCTTCACATTTATAACGCATCCACGGCCCCAGAGAGCGGAGCGCGTTTTTTTTTTCTGCAGTAACAAGACGTGCAGGATGAACCTGCAGATCCATTAGCTCGACACACAAACCACTGGGCCATGGTCAGCCCACTAAAAGAAAGAATTAAGATTTCCAAGGCCAGAAAGTGGCTTATGAGTAATTAGTGCGTTTTATTTATAGAACATCGATTCTAATTAGAGATAACTTTCTGACAAGGTCAGAAAAGTACTTTGAAGAACTGAAACTAAATAAAAGCGAGATATATAATTAATAAAATACTGAAACCGTTTCCTTCGTACAAGAAACGTACTTCAATCCTACAATGAAAACTACATGATCCATGGAAAGTGTCACTTCCCTTCTCCCTAAAATAATACAGGGAAATGTTGGATGATATAATGAAGATTATAACAGAAGATTCCATTTCGCGCTTAAATAAAATAACAAGTAAGGTACTGCTTGGGACTAGAAGAATATTACAATTGTCAACGACAGATTGTCATCTTGCACATTTAGAATATTTTAATGGATGAAGTCATGCACAAACACTTGGCATGGTTTCACTCGACTCCAACCTTGTGATATGAAGGTTCTAAATGAACCGTATAATGCGGTATAATGATGTGTATAAGGAGGTCACGTGTAATATAGTATTAATTCATTCACGAAATCATTCTCAGACTTTGAACGGTATATAGCATCAAATGAATCCTCGATTGTCCAAAATGTTTAAATATTTGATGGGTTCTCCTAAACAATACCCTAGGTAGCATTTGGACAACAAGGGATCACTTGGTTCTTCAAGACTAATCCTTTCACAAATACCCCTGACAAAAGTAAAAATTTAAACCCATCCTTTATTTTCAGAAAAACAATAATTTCCCTCTTAAGTTCTCGTAAAGTGCCGGCCTCCACTATTGCTGACGGCAACTCATGCCATAAGCCAATCATCCAGTTATAAAACTGTCTTAACCGGATCCTAACCTGTTTTTCCAAATCTTAAATTATATATGGCAAGTAAATCAAAGACCTTTATCTTATTGATCCCCCCAAATAATCTTGTAAAGCTTAAATTATATATGGCAAGTAAATCAAAGACCTTTATCTTATTGATCCCCCCAAATAATCTTGTAAAGCTTAAATTATATATGGCAAGTAAATCAAAGACCTTTATCTTATTGATCCCCCAGATATTCTCTTCAGTGCAAATATCTCTCACCCTTCCTTTCTCTAGAGAAATAAGCTAATAAATATTAATCTATTCCTGTAAGATAATCCTTCAATCCCCGAAATCATCCTAGTAGCCCCCTCTTAACCATTTACAGTAATCCAATATCCTTTCTTAGATAAGGGCCTTCCAGTGGAAAGTCTGAAGTCTTATAACGCTAAAAACCAAGTTTCGAGACTCGTGATAAGCACAGCACAGATAGCCTATTCTACTGCTATTTATTAATATTCTACTACTTAGCTGCTTAAATGGAACTTATATCTGAAATATAAATCACCCTTACCTAGAAAACTATCCTACAAGTTCAACTACTCCATCTGTTGCTCTAAGTATATCCCTGGTAATCTTTCAAGCTTTAGATTCTGCTAAATAAGTCATTCCTACATCTAGCCCAAGGGAGCACCCCAGAAAGGGCCATTGTCTATCCATATTTCTAAACCTCTGAAGGAGTTCTTTATACTTTTTAAAACAGCTTTTCTGGTTTACTATTTGCTTTTGCACGCCTTAGAGAATGGAGAATGTTCCTTGGTACTAACAAGTAGATTTTTAACATTCTCTATAATGTCGTGGCATTCAAATTCTAGTCCTCATCTTTCTTCGGTTCCCATTACATATAACTTTATTAGTATACCTAATAAGAGAGTGTCCAACTATGTAAGCCTCTTAATCATTCCATTCCTCATTGCCATCAATCAACGGTTTAAAAATTTTAAAGACTGGCACCTGAATGCTACCTGAGATTGCCTCTATAGCACTCACATTTTACCTCTCTGCTCTCTTGTAAATCTATTACTCTCATTCTCACCTACTCCCAAAGCAATATTCATTCTAACTCTATCTGTTTTTGTCTCACTACTTCTTTGATTTCTGCTCCTAGTGTGCTACAGAGGGTTGAGTACATTAAACTAAAACGATTGTGGAGCCACACCACGTCATTACAGTCTACGTCATCACGTCCGATCGTTCTTTATCTGACGACCGTGCATGTTGACCACAGCTCTGTAGCGTAGTTTCCATAGCAAAAGACTCTGTCATAAGACTGTCAAATCCAAAGAATACTATTCCTATTTGCAGGTTTTCCATAATCTATCTAGTATACGAGGATGACGGCTCCCAGTACCCCATTTCACCAGTCCAATAACATAGAATTTCATAGGCTCTGCATCCAGCGACTTAACCGACATGTCTCCGTATGGAATAGTATGAATACCCGTTTCATTCTCCGGCTGCTTCAGGTGTGCAACGGTTAAACAGAAGGTATGGTTAGAAACATTGTCTTGGTGAACTTATATTCTGTTGGCCTCGTTTCCAGACGGAGATATTCTTGATTATATTGTGTACTGTTGCCTAGGGCACGTGGACAGCTTTTAACACCGACCTAAGTGTTCGTCGATTTTCACCTATTAAGAAACACCACAACTGATTGATCGTGGCTGGGGTACGACCTGTTGCAGGTCTCTTTCTTGGTGGCCCTTGGGACCCGACTTGATCCATATTCCTTTTATTTCCAATGTCATTAAGTACAAAAGATATTTCCATTTAAGAAATTGTAAACTATTTATCTGGTCATATCCTTATGACCTGAGTGTATGAATATTTTGCGCCGGCAAGGGCTATGGCATACCATTCCTAAAAGCGATAAATTTTCTGTGACTTCACGCTAATTACCAAATGCCAAAAAATATCAAATTGTAATTTTCATACATTCTGTTCCACCACGATTATATATCGGCTGTGGTTGTCACGCGACTTGTTTTTGATTTATAAAATCGTTTTGATATAACATACTCAAATCTCTGTGTTTCCCTTTCTTAAAGCACAATCTTCCCTAAACGTATCTCTTATTACCAAATAATAAATATATGTACGTGTAGTATATTGTATCTTTCTGAACCTCCTGACAGTCGCATTCCAGTCCACAATTCCCAAACATAACTTAATCTTGTCAGCTATTGCACTCTATAAATTCTACTATACTCATTCCTAAACTACCTCTAACCATGATGAGGTTTTGATACCAGTTATTACTCTTCTCTTGTACCAGTCTACGCATCTAATGTATACTTAATTTTAACTAGAATTAAGTTTATTTCACCGCTTATTAAATTCTCAGCACCAAACAAATAATAATAATAATTGTTTGTTTGTTTTTAATTATGCACAAAGCTACACAAGGGCTATCTGTGCTCTGCCGACCACGGATATCGAAACCCGGTTTCTAGCGTTGTAAGTCCGCAGACATGCCGCTGTGCCACTGGGGGGCAATAATAATAATAGAAACTATAATTTAAACTCTTAAGTTAAATAAATTGTTCTTCTTACTTAACTAACACTAGTGCTAATTACATATTCCAATCTAATATTTTATTTAATACCTTTACTACCCTGTGCTAGTAGTACTACTAACAAACAAAATTACAAATTAAGTACATTAAGTACTTAAAAACAAATTACAAACAAAACCAAATTAGCCCTAACGATCTAGTATTAAGACTATTGTCGTAACTTTAGGCTTGGCTGTAACTGTAGTAATAAAATTTAAAAGTGTCCACTTCTAACTAATCTAATTAAAATATACTAAAATAAATAATTACAGAATGCTTCAACAATTTTAAAACAATACTTATCATCTTCAGAAGAATCTTATGGTCTACAATAACGAGTATTTCTAATTTCTTTCTCTCCGAGCTCAAAAATATTCTTTCCGTTACTTTCAATATATCCCTCCTTATCTCAGTTTAAAACTATGATGAATTTTCATTATTATTCATTCTTTAAGATTTTCAAAGGTTAACAACTTCTATGACGTACTTGAATTTCGTGATTGATATGTATTTCTTCTTCTGCTCTTTTCTTCGCAAATTGTCGATAGAGGGCGTCTTCTTCAGCTCTGTGTCTCATTTCCAAACCTTTCTGCGTATCCTCGTCCTGCACGTGTAAGAAAAATACACATAAATATAATATTGGTGAATCATTTACAAGACCTTATACAAAATAACTGATCAATGGTTGTGAGAAATCAATAATTTAATCGATGCATACTGATACATGAGCGATTTAAGAAATGTTATTCAAATACGACAAAACAATACACTTCGATGTCACTCTTTCTTTACTTTCTTTACATTCTAGGAAATAAACTTTATGCATAAGAATTGTGATCATTGCAAAGTTTCTCCCACTTTGATTTTTCACTAGGCCTAAATATCTCATATTTTCCAGTACTTGTAAAACAGGTTTGTGGATAGCCTTATCATAATAGTAAATATTCACTATTGAGTAATACATTACATAAAAACAAAGTGGGTAGTTCCGTGTTAAAGAAGCACAATTTCACGCTTATTTACTTTGTTTTACAAACATATGGCTAATTTGATGCAACTCCGTTCAGGCACAATAGTGGGTGATCTAAATTTGACTGTGTTGTCCCACAGACAAAGCCTGACCCAATGTTTATCGTGTCCGAACTGTGAATCAGGGGATTCGTGATTCGCGTCCATTTGCTCCAAAACACAACACTTTTCACTTTGGAGCTGTGGGTGCGCTATAAGAGTGACGGTCAAATTCCGCTATTCAGTCAGACAATGGTAGCATAAGGGTTGGAGGTGGGTGCTGTTGAAGAGCTGTCTTCCGTCTAGTTTATCAGTTCAATATTAAAGACGGATATGCGCAGATAATTCGCGAAAAATCCGAAATAAAGGTGTTTTCTCAGGGGTAACCTACCTGTTATCATGCAGGCGGAAGATTGTGGTAAAGTAGTCGAAAGCTTGTGCAACAAAATAAAAAAAAAGTGAAACATAACCTATAGTATTTTAAATCAAATAAAGCATTATTAATAGCGGGTTATATGCAGGTTTTGTGTCAAGGATAAGACATGGTATTGTTGTATAAGTTGTTTGAAATGTTCATACTTCACGTGGGTGGCGACATATATTTTCATACAGGTTTAGTTTGAGTGTTACGCTATCTCTCCATCTAAAAAATGAAACAAACTAACCGGTTCCGCCTACACGGGTAAACTGCGTCACAGTAGCTTTAAATACGTTGCAAACACTTATTAGCATTCCAAATTGTTGCAATCTGCAGTGAACTCGAGGAACCGCCATCAAATCCTGATTTATTTGCAGTGAATTAACGAATGAATATTATAAATGTATGATTTATCCTTTAAAAATAAAACGTTATTTCACCGATGTAATGTATCTTGTATACACATATATGCGTGTGTATGCATACGAGTTGTCTCTAATAGAGCTTGTGTAAAAGTAATGTATTTTATAGCAAAGCAACGAAGGCTATCTGTCGCCATCTCTGATTTTGAATTACTGACTAAAAGGAAGGCAGTTAGTCAGAAACACACTACCACCCACCATCAACGCGAATGGCACAGTTTAAAGTACGGGGAATATTTTATGGCATTGCAAGGACATAAGCCTAACAAAAGTAACGACGCAGTTTGCTGTACGTCGCATATTACTTGTTAAAAATAAGTGTTACTGAACACAACGAGACTGTTTCAAATAAGTTTTGTTTGTTTGTTGCTGTTGTTTTTGAGGGGGGGGGGGGGAGAGAGGAGAATACGGCTAAACTTATCTTAGAAATAACAAACAGAGAACTTATTAATAAATATGAATGAAATTATTTCCTAATTACTACGCAACTCGCATGTTAGATCAAGGCATGTGACACATGAAATTATATTCATCTTAAAACTTGTAAAAATTTGTTATAGGAATTGGGAATTTTTGTTTAATCGTATGTAACAAAGTAATTTCTAAGGTACTAAGAATCAATATGAACTCCAATCTATCCTCCGATTCACCACTTGTCACTGAGTTATATCAGATAATTCCACCCCTCATATTCTTGAAATCCTATAAAAATATTGGTTTGCTGTGGTAAGTAAAAGACAACTAAAACACCATACATACAAGTAAAGAAAATGGGTAAAAAAGTCACAGTAATATTCAAAATTAAATCAGTTAACGCCATCTGTTAAACAAACAAAATATATTTAGATCTAAATTGATGCGGAGGTTCAAATATTTATATTTAATTTCCCCGATGCATTATATCAACACGAATTCCGACTTTAACTTTTTCTATCTGTTTCAAGTTTCAAAGAAAAAACAAAACAAACAAGACTTCACATTTCTGGGAGAATAGATATCATGCACCGTATAATGTTTTGACCGCTAGGATGAATAGTTTTGTGAACCACTTATTAATCACCACTAAAACCCTTTCACCATCTGATATTAGAGCACTGGTATTGGGCGAAAGGCCACGTCGGCATTGGATATAGCAGATACGGTGTGGTTGACAAATTATTTTAAAATCGTATTTACTGTCACTTATTAATAGTTAGCTATTCATCCTTCATTATAAACTTTAAAAATGTGATTTGGAGGGCTTATCTTTTCACGTTTTTACGTTTTAGTTGTGTTTCCAACCAATATATATATTTTTACTTTTACAGTTTATGTCAGCATAGATCTATTTGCTAGAATATTTTTTCTTCTTTGTTTTCAGTTATTTTTCTAGTT